CACTGTTCTTCGAAAGCTCAAAGCAAATGAGTTCTGATTACCTGTACTTTCTTCCCAATTAACCTTTTCCGGAGAAATTCTCGGGCATCAAACATGTGTGGTATGTCGTACAAAGGCCTGAACTGACGCCCAACCCTATTTTCATTTTCTTTGTTGTCTTCCCTGCAAAAATGGAATTGTTACAAAAACAAAGTGAAAACCAACAGCGCTACTTCAGACACCTGCAGTGTAAGAAACGTAAACGTACCACCCCTCGCTACAAACTACGGATGCGGACTGCTTTCCCTTGCTGACACCAGTGAAATGTATTTCAAAATTTACTTTAAACTATTCTGCTTATCAAATGAATTCCAACCGGCGAATTATTTACTTCAACCGTAGAGAACAAACGCTGCTGAGACTATATTTCCGAAATAATACGTAGTAAATCAAACGTAGCAAGAAGTAAATGCCAGCTTTTTATTTATAATACAGAGAACTATTTTGAATAGTCACTCACGATTTATACAGACGCTTGCATTATGAAGGCAAACTACCAATTTTGAAGACGTTATCCACCGTTATTCTCACCTCAGAACTTCTTACTTTCAAGGGGCTAATGTGTAAGACATAAACACGTCACTTCTTTTTAGAAAACATGTAAACTAAAACGCAGATAGCTAAAAACGTTTTCAGGAATCCCCGCTCGGCACTTCCAAGTTCAAAAAATCAAATCGCAGTCTTTCCAGAGCACCATTAGACAAATTTCCACAGACTAAAGAAAAAATTAGATAAGCTTATTATAGCTAAATATCCTAAATTTTAAACCCGCCCTTCTATAACCTCCGGAAAGTAAATAAATAAAGATACATTTTGTTCGTCTTTCAGCTTATAGTAATTCAGAACAACAGTTCCACAAGTGGTACGAGAAAAAAGTTTCAAGGTTATCCTGTAAGCGATATACGAATTCAGTAATTAGTGTCCTAAACAGAATCCACCTCTGAAAATGCTCATTGAAAAATTAAACAACAGAGGTTCAGTATCTGCAAACGGCCTATTCATCTAGGCAATAATCATGTGCAAACATAGCATATGAGTTTCAAAGTATCGGACTTAAAAGCCATTACACGCTCAGATAACCAATGAACTCCAAATGCTCTTCAGAAATCTCTACTTTTGCTTTAAATACTACACTTGTTCCCTATGGTTCCTGTCAAATATTGTTAACAAACTTCGATTTCCAGTGTCCAGCATTAAACTAATACAAAATTCCGCCCAAGCACTCCAGTAAAAAACTGAAGTGCCACTTATTCAAAATTTTTACCTGGGAGGCCTGACTGACGATAACCAGATCTTCATTTCTTCACCACTTTCCTTTTGGATCACTAGAGCGTCGCCCATTACAATTTCAATAACCTTAGCAGTAAAATTCTTTTTATCCGCGCTAAGCTGGTTGGATGGTTGGTATGAACGCCACAAACGCATCCGTTTTTCTTTTGCAACTCTAAAAAACCAATACATTAACAGAGATATAAAACACAAAACACCCAAACCCACTATTCAAAAATTGGTGGATAAGCCAATGCACTACAAGTAGCAGGTAAATAAGTAACCTTTCAGCTGTTCGAAGGATTTCTGGTCCACACGTGGCTAAAGCGATAGACCAATCCACACATTTAGCAAATCCTTCACGAAGAAGAAGTTCAGCAATATTTCCCTTAGGATGCAACACAGATCCAACAAAGTTCTGATTTGAAACACCTTCCAATATTATTTCAACATCACGCTGAAGAAGTCTGCACTCAACGAAATATCTAGCTTCTTCAGCATAGTCTTCTGAATGACCATCACCACCTGCCCGAATCGCTGGTGCCTAAGTAAACACCGAAGGTCATTTGTAAAAAGAATCTACCGTCCTAAGCGCACAAAAATTCTTGAATGCTTCAAATGCTGTAAACCAACCTTAACTCCTGAGAGCATGAGAGTAACGTAATGAAATTCAGGCAGTAGAAAAGCGCGAAGTGTCGAAGCATCGCGCACTTGTTCAATAACTGCTTTAACAGGCTTTTGCTTATAATGATCTACCAAAATCCGTGGATTTTCAATCACCCACTTTACTTTCCTGACCTGAAAATGGAGGACTAAACGAAAGAAAACTCAAAAATAAACATATCCGCCACATTTATCAGTATATAAGAGTCATTAAAACAGCATCAGAAGACTCCCAAGGAAAACTTGAAACAGAAAATCAACAAGTTCCAAAAAACTATTTCCTGAAAGATACTTCAGATATTTCAAAGCTTCCAATCAAATCCCCTTCATCTATCCCTCCAACGCTGTCATAGCTAGTTAAATCAGAATGCAACCTGACTATAAATGATAAAATTCTGACAGCCGCTCAGCGAAGAAGTATTGTTTCAAGAACACCAACTCTCCTCAAGTAAGAAATCTTATCCCCTACCATTTATTAGAAAACAAATTCATTATGCTAAAAGTATCTGCAACCGTTTATATGGTACTATGAATAATACGACTCTTTACATGTTCTTGTTGTTTTCCGTCTTCAGCCGACCATCGTCCTCGTTTCGCTGTTTTCGCTTCTTCTTGCATAGCCAAAAGTTTCGTTGTATACTCTCTATAAATGGCAGTGGCTTTTTAAGTTATATGATATTCTTTAAAAACGTTCAAGGAGACAACCTAGATTTTCATACCCAAAGCATGTAATCTTAAACACCCTTAAAAGCATGAATAGAGAGTTGAAAAATTTACTCTGGAACGCGCCCTGGTCTTACTTCCAACCAGCCTTCCTTCACTCCCGTTTCGGTAACATTTTCTGCGTTGTCAGGGTCTAAAAAAAATAAGGTTAACAATTATATACTCACAGATCGCAATTTCACAAATGAGTAGCGGTGAAAACTAATCCCTTCGAATATTCTCCGCTCTTGACCTTCCAATAAAAAAATAAAACACAAACTGAATAAGATATTTTAAAGAGAACAACGATTACTTGTTCCTCCGAGATAAACTCGCCCATGCTCGCGCCCTGAAGTAGCAGTGAAATCAAGACCAAAAGTCACTGTCTTACCTACAACTTTCTTGCGAAGCCACTCACGAGCTTCCCACGCAAATGGCTAAAATACAAACAAGGTTAAAAACGAGAAACAAGAACACATAAGTTCAATCATTTGGTACCAGAGAAGACAATTACGAAAAGAAAACCCTGCCAATCAAACAACTTTAAAACAAAAAATAAATTTTGACTACTCAAAAAGAAAAAAGTAAGAGATAAAAAATACACTACCTACTAACTTGAAAAATTACAATCAAAAAATTCAAAAAGCACACCTCATCCTCCTTCCCAGGTTCAGTTTCCGTAGGTCTCTTTCCCAGCCTTGGTGCAATTACGTGACTCAAGTAAACAGTCATTTCTTTTGGAGGACCATTCGCTGGCGGACCCTAATCAACTCCAATATCAAATAAAGTCATTTTTTATAAACACCAATCACAACTCAAATGCAGAACACTTCTAGCATATTTTCTGCTACAAAAAAATAGCTGATCTGCAACACAAAAAAACCTCAAAATCTTTGTTCGAGGTTACCGAGAGATTTAAAAAAGTAGCAAGTAGTCTGACATATGTTACAAACCTGTAGGACTACAGCATCTCCGCTTAGTACCTGCTTAACGTATCCACGTTTAAAAGATGTTGGACTTGTTGAAACCTGAGTGCTTGGCTCCGCCATGGCGAATTTTACCAACAATGACCCACAGTACTGAAAAGAAAAAGAATCAACCTTTTTATTATCAGCGAAAAAATTTCAAATCCCATAAAATACAACTGACAATAACAAGCTGCTGCAACACAATCTTGTTTTGAACTTATACTGCAACAACAAAAAAAAAATTTTTTTTAATATCAATCATAGCTCAATTTTAACTAGTCACTTATAGGATAGTGACGCTGGTGATGATTGGAAGAAATTATTGAGAAAATTAGCAAAAAAAAATAAATAGTTTACTATTAAAAAAAAATATTAATTTTCCGTAACAAGACCAATCAACTTCAGTGAACTATTTCACTGAATGTGGATATTATCAGTTAGGAAATATGTGAAAACAGAACAGTTTTGATCGCCAATAACGACTTAGATAAAAATTGAACGATTTACAAACCTTGAAAAACAGAGAGCAAAGCTCCGTTTAGGAAATACAGTAATTCGAACTGCATTCCCTGACAGATTTTTAAACAACTTCACTCCTAAAGCGACTGTATCTGAAAATTCGCTCCTATGCCTGAAGGTGCCTGGTAACGAACTTTCAGTATTTCAGTACTGTCTTTGGTTTCCAGTCGCTGACGACTTCTATGTTCGGATTATCTCAGGCTATGGGTCATGTGTTTGATAGGCGGTTTTGATCTGTTGTAATCAGCATTATTTTTTTGCGTTTTGAAAAAGTTATGCACTTTAGAGCAACATTTGTTAATTTTTTGAAAAATTTCAGACAAAATGCAGTAGATTTTCTTCTGCTCTCCTAAAAATATTAAACAGGGACATCCTGATTGGCAGCTGGTAGTCGTTTTAATCAAATACCATTTAATTCTGTATTAGGCTGTATGCCATGTCCACTTGCTAGTCGCTGGAGACGTAAACTTCACCATCGGGCTTTTGTTTGACTACAAATGGTTTTTTTCAGTGCTAGCCAAAGGTTAAATGAATATATAAAATTTTTGATCATGCCATTTTTGCCGACATTTCTTAGCGCTCAGTAACTATCTTCATCAAAATCTGCCTTTCATTTATGTTATTTTTTAACACAAATAAATATGTATATAAAAAATAATTGGACGATTTCTGGAAAAACTATTCATTTACACCTTTTTTCTTTATTTGTTCACCTGCATTTAAACGAATTGATTATAATTCATTTTAACATAACGGCAAAATCTGATGCCTGAAGTCTTGTTTGATAGATAAAAGTTGTAGAAAAAGCGGAAAACTAAGTCAGTATATCGACATTTCAATTCAAGTACATCCAACCATTTTCTAAATTACTCTTTCTCAGTCTTATTGAATGTTCGCTTTATTGTATTGATTTTTTTGAACGGACAAAAATTCGCTTTTACACTGTTATCTTTAAACTGTTGATTGTGATCTAATTTTTCGGGATGGATGAGGATATTTATCGTTCGATACGCTTGCTTATAAAATCGTATAGTCAGACTAATGTTGCAAAAAATTTTTTTGATTGATTGCACTTTGCTTGTATTTGAAAAGTTAACAGCTAGTAGTTCTTATGTTGGGCAAGATTAGCCTAGGCTTTTAGCTATGGATTTTTTTTTTGCGTTCTCAGCGATACGGCTTGCAAATACGCACGTTCTCAAAGCTAAAGGCACGTTAATGCTTGACTGAAAGTTCTTTGGAGTAGTTGATTCCTCTTTCCACTTCCGCTACGGTCTCGCTTTTAATATGTTTTCTCGTCTTTTTATTATTACTGGGATAGCAATGATCAGACTGCAGTAGTGGTGTAACAGACATCTTCAATTTGCTTTACATTCGAGTTTGCCCGACAGGTGGAAAAGAAACGCGTTAAAAAGAATGTTTTTTTTTTTTTTTTTTTTTTTTTTTTTTTTTTT